CATACCAGTCCCTAATCAGATATTTGATTTACAGATAGGATTGTCATCACTTTCCTGATCGATTTACTTGCATTTTTTATTTTTATTTTTTAGCAGTTTTGTAGTTTTATCTTTTAGGTCTGTGATGCATTTTGAGTTAATTTTTGTGTATGGTGTAAGAAAGTGGTCCAACTTTATTTTTTTGCATGTGGATATCCAGTTTCCCAGCATCATTTATTGAAAAGACTATTTTTCCCCACTGTATTGTTTTGTCAAAAATCAAATGACCATATACATAAGTATTTATTTCTAGACTCTCAGTTCTATTCCATTGACCTATATATCTGTCCTTATGGCAGTATCACATTGTATTGGTTACTGTAGCTGTGTAGTAAGTTTTAAATTTGAGAAACGTGAGTTCTACATCTTTGTTCTTACTTTGAAGATTCTTTTATTTATTCTGTGTTCATTTCAATATGAATTTTATGATCAGGTTTTCAGTTTTTGCAAAACAAGCTGGGAATTTTTAGGGATCATGTTGAATCTGTAGGTCAATTTGGGGAGTATTGCCGTTTTCACAGTATTAAGTCTTCCATTCTATGAACCTGAGATGTCTTTCTGTCTGTTTAGATCTTTACTTTTTTTTAACAGTGTTTCCTAGTGTTAGGCCTACGAGTCTTGAACTTCTTTTGTTAAATTTATTCCTAAGTATTTTATACTTTTAGATGGTCTTGGAATGTAATTAATTTTAATTTCATTTTCTTATTTTTCATTGCTAGTATATAAAAATACAATTACTTTTTATATATTGACCTTGTATCCTGCAACTTTGCTGAACACATTTAGTGGTAATCATGTGTATGTGTGTGTGTGTGTGTGTGTGTGTGTGTGTGTGTGTGTGTGTGTATTCCTTAGGATTTTCTATGTGCAAGATCATGTCATCTGATAATAAAGATCATTCTCCTTTTTCCAATTTCTATGTCTTTTATTTCTGTTCCTTACATAATTTCCCTTGCAAGAACTTCCACTGCAGTGTTAAGTAAAGTTGCAAGCGAGAACATCCTTGTCCTGTTACTGATCTTAGGGGCAAAGCATTCAGTCTTTTACCTATATGTATGATGTTAGCTGTTGGTGTTTCTTTATTTATTTTTTTAATTAATTTATTTTTGTCTGCATTGGGTCTTCGTTGCTGTGCGTGGGCTTTCTCTAGTTGCGGCTAGCGGGGGCTATTCTTCGTTGTGGTATGCAGGCTTCTCATTGCGGTGGCTTCTCTTGTTGTGCAACATGGGCTCTAGGCACGCAGGCTTCAGTAGTTGTGGCACATGGACTCAGTAGTTGTGGCTCGCGGGCTCTAGAGCGCAGCCTCAGTAGTTGTGGCCCATGGGCTTAGTTGCTCCACGACATGTGGGATCTTCCCTGGGCATGGCTCGAACCCGTGTCCCCTGCATTGGCAGGCAGATTCTTAACCACTGTGCCACCAGGGAGGCCCCCTGTTGGTGTTTCATAGGTGCCCTTCATCAGGTTGAGGAAGTTCCCTTCTATTCCTACCTTGTTGATTGTTTTATCATGAGAGGGTGCTGGATTTTGTCAGATGCTTCTTTTGCACCATTGGTATGATTATGTGGTTTTTGTCCTTATTCCATCAACATAGTATATCATGTTGATTGATTTTCATATGTCAAAACAATCTTGCGTTCTTGGGTAAATTCCAGTTGGCACTTGGTCATGGTCTTTCATCATTTTTCTTTGTTGCTAGATTTAGTTTGCTAATATTTTGTGGAGGATCTTTGTGTATACATTCGAAAGGGATGTTGACCTGTAGTTTGGGGTTTTTTTTCCTTATGATGTCATTGCCTAGTTTTAGTATCAGTTTTGGTATCTGTGATCTCATAGAATGAATTGAGAAGTTCCCTCCTCTCCTATTTTTTGCAAGTTTATGAAGGATTGGTGCTAATTTTTCTTTAAGTGTTTGGTAGAATTCATTAAGGAAGGCATCTGGTCCTGGGCTTTTCTTTGTGGGAAGTTTTTTGTTTTTGTTTTATTACTAAATCAATCTCTTCAGTTGTTATAGGTCTGTTCAGATTTTCTATTTCTTCTTGAGTCAGTTTGATAGTTTGTTTTTCTAGGAATTTGTTCATTTTGTCTAAGTTGTTGACAACACTAATTTGTTGGGGTATGGTTATGCATATTCTCTTTCTTTTTATCTCTGTAGGTTTGGTAGTGATGCCTCCTCTTTCATTCCTGATTTCAGTAATTTAAGTCTTCTCACTTTTTTCTTGGTCAGCCTAGCTAAAGGTTTGTCAATTTTGTCGTTCTTTTCAAAGAACCAATTTTCGGTTTCATTGTTTTCATTCTGAAATTCAGGCTAACAGAGCAGCCTCTATATGAAACATTGCTGGATGTAGGGTGGCAGAAGAAAAATGGCAAAACATGTGCTGACTCCGTATATTTCTGCCTGAAATCAACATAGATCACTTTCATTCATATTTCACCAGCCAAAAGCAACATACCCATGTTAGACTTCAGTGGGGTAAGATAATGGAATTCTCTCCAGGGAGGGCCAGTGACTATTAATGAACAATAACATAATCTGACACACTGCCTTTCCTTAGTGCCTTTAGTTGCTTAGGTTTGGTTATTCCTGAACCCAACTTTATTCTCCAAACGGGTGTCTTAAATGGGGACTAGGAGATATCATAATAGTAACAATAATAGCATCTAATGTTGAGTGATTATCATTTCCCATACATGCGTCCTTTACATGTATTTTTGCATTTAATCCTCACAACAACGCAGTGAGGTAGTGATTATTTTTATCCCACTTTATAGATGAGGAAACTGAACAATAGAGAGATTAAAGGCAAGTAGTTGAGATTCAAACTCAGGTCACTTTAATTTTAAAATGCATGTTTCTACTTTAATATGTGGTTAAATACATAGATTCTGGTGATAAACTGACTAGGTTCAAATCCTGGCTTATGCCAGATACTATTTTTTTGCCTTGGGCAAGTTTTGTTACTTCTCTGTCTGTTTCTCCATCTGTAAAATGGGGATATTAACAGTACCTACCTCATGGGGTTTTTGTAAAGTTTAAATATATAAATTGATGTATGTGGAGTGCTTGCGTTTAGAACAGGGCTTGGTATAAAAAGGAGTTTGATATTATTAGGAGTATTAGTATTATTACTACTATCACTATTATCATTATTTAGCAAAGCTTTGGAAAGCTCCACTGGTTATCCTGCTTTCTTCCTTCTGTTCCCTGCTTCTTAATCCCCTTTGAGAATTACGATTCTCGATTTTTGTTCCCACCTTATATTTATCTATTTTTGGATTAACACTTCACCAACATGGAGGGTAACTGTAGGAGTACCATTGTCTTCAACCCAGCTGTATATCTCTGCTTCCCAGAACTTCCCTGCTGGTCACTTTTATATTCATAGTTTATTATTTAAACTCCTACTTTATATTTATGTGGGTGCACAGCAATGATCTGCAATATAGAAATAAACTGCCTGGGGGGGGGCAATCATTATTACTGGCACTGCTTCTTGCTACATGACTTTGCTGATCATTTCTTCCAATTAATTCTTTAAAGTTGATGGTTTACCGTGGTCTAATTTTGGATACAACGTACTAAATTTTTTCGCTGTAAAAATCATGACACAACCAAGAAAGCACAGTAGCAAACTGTTCTTGGCGTAGATCTGTCTACTGGTCATCAGCCTTTTAAAAACCAGATGCTGTTTGAGAAAGGCCTGATTAGCTAGTGGTGTCATAACAAAGTGTGCACAGTTCTTTTTCACGTGGGCTAAAGAGAACTAAGCAATTCATTCTCAGTTTTAGTGCTTAAAGTAGAATGGAACAGAATGACTTGTAGGCAAGTTGGAATCTGTTTCATTTACCATCCCCCTCAAATTTATATTTTTCTTTTAAGAATTTATTACATAAAGCAGAAGGATAAACGATCCCACTTCCTTATTTGTCCACTTGATACAATACATAGACTTCAAGTGCTGGTTTTGATTGCGGTCAATTTGAAGTTAGGGTGTTAATCCCCATGAGGATAGTGGCATTTTTTTTTTTTCCCTGATGATTTATGATGTTAATGTGTTTTTTTCTTCTGAAGTAATTTAAAATAATACTTTAAAAGTTTTAGTCTGAAAATTTCTTCTTTTTTTGTCTTTTTTCCCCCTCCAGTCTACATTTGAATTTGCCAGTTTAGCTATGTGGATTGAAAAGTGATAATTAAGAGACAGCGATAGGAAAGGTTACAAAATTTGAGAGTCCTTGATTAGGGCACATTTTTATGTAAAGTCAAAGCTAAGATTTTGATTGTTCCCATGTGCTTCAATTATCATCAAACCAATCTTAAATTATCTTATACTTCTGAAGGTTCCAAATAAATTTAGATTTCCAGATATAGCAGATTGGAACATAGTAATTTACCATCTTTTCTGCCTATTGGACTTGTGTTGTGGATCTGCTAGGCATCGAGTGCCATATTAAACATGTTCTTGCCACCAGCTTCTACAAAATTGATGTCTTTAATCAAGTCATGAATATAAATTTGATCAATGCTATTCTGTATGGATTAGGATCTAAGGATTTATGCATAAAAGTTATATATAAGAAGATATATCCTCACATATGCAGAGTCATGTTGGAGACATCCGTGGGTTTCCTCATTTTCACACTTAGATTGCTAGGTTAGGTCAAAGCTAAATTCTAATTCCATATAGTTTTATGGAATAATCAGCCTTCTCTCTTTCCTAATCAGTTTCCAATTATTTAGCCCTTTTCCCCTAAAATCCATGGAGTAGAGTTAAGCACTATCTTCCCTTTAATTTCATAGCTTATTTGAAGGAGCTTTGTAGGGAATGGAGCAAGATGACAGAGTACCAAGCATGAAAAAGACTGGGTTCTTGAATCTTATTTGCCTCCAGCTAAATTATTTGGGGGATGCTGCAGTCATTATTATTCAAGAGTAAAGTGACACTGGAAAACAATGTATTTTTTCAAGGTAATCGTTCAGATTTATTTTAAAAAGGAGAGGAGAGTTCTTTTTTGATATTATGGGAACAAAGGCAACAGTCAGGCATTTCTTTGGCTAACTCATGCAATCCTAGAGTAAAATATAAGCCCAGGTTACTTTGATAGGATTTAAAGGAGTAAAAACATATGTGAATACAATGATACTAGATCTGTGTAATTCTGAATAATAAAGATTAAGATGATACTATTGGTCCCTCACGTACTGGTATTTAAACTTTAAAAATCAATCAAGAGAGAAGATTAAGTGGTTTTTCTTTGGTACAAAAAATGTAAAGCTAAGACCAAATTGTTCTATTTTCACAGATTTAAGATACAAAGAATGATATTTAAAGACATTAAAATGGCTCTTAAATTCTCTTCAGTTTGTAAAGAATCTCCTATGAAGTACACCTAGAAGAAATCCCTGAGTACATTAACTACTCTATTAGTATCTTCATAAACAAAGAGGAACAATTTAAAGTACTTAGCAAAAGCAGTATCTATGTATAAGACTCCCTCCAGAGTGCTTGTAAATTAGGCCACCAAATATTTAACGGGAGAAACAATACAGTCACAAAATTAAAATATGATAATTTGAACACATTAACCATTCAAATCAAAAAACCAGTCTCTTATGGTGTCTCTGTTTTGTTTTAGCCACTCGATATTGTTTTTCACTGTTTCCAGCACTTGCTCCCTAGGTTTTTCTCCTGCTCCAGCTTCTGGATATCTTTTGAAAAAGCTCTCCATCTATAAAAGAGAAGGAAATAATTAAGAAAGTAATTTTAAGCCCAATTATTCTTCAAGGATTTTCTTTACACTCTGGATTTATTTCCTTCTTCCCTGGACATTCAGTATCACTGAATAACACTGAGATACATTTTCTGGTGCATCATTTAGACTGAGCCCATCTCTCAGATTAGCAATCATTACCCATGGCTTTTGGACACCTGGCAGCATGTCACACAAAAAAGGCCCTGATGTATTGCGGAAGGAGAGCAGCACACTGGTGGCTGGCATGCTCTTTCTGCTGCTTCGGGTTTCTCAATTTTCTGCACATTCCCCAAGGTGTTCCCTGGAAAATCTGGTCTGTGGAATGATGGCTTTGCTTAGCCTTTCATTCCAGGAATCTGGAGTATTTTAATACGCGTTCAGTTCATTTATTGAGGGCTCATCAAAAAATCTCTGTTAAACTTGGTTCATTTTCCCTCTTCCCTCCAAAATCCTCCCCCAAACTCCACCATAGTAGTATTTGTTATTTATAAAAATAAGGATTATTCTGTTTCTTAATACAGAGGAATGTAACATTCCAGTATCTAATACAGGTACTGAAAATTCATACAATCTCTATTTATGCAACATTAATGAACATTCCCTGCCCCCCTGGGAATTGAGATATTTGAAATCTGAAAGATTTGGGCTTAGTTTTGAAATTCCAAAACTATGACTTCAGAAAGGAATCAAATCTTGACCAGCTTATCCCAGGATTACATTTACCTGGAAAGGGGAGACATACTGTTCATGCTTTGTTAAACCAAATGGTCTCATGGAGCCTTCTAATCCTCCCAAGGCCTCACGTTTCTCAACTTTTAAACTTTATTTATTTCTTGGTTGTTTGAATTTTTTTCAGTTTAGACAAAACTAGGTGTACATTTAATTATATATAAGAATTATTTCTTTTTTCTTGTCTTCTGGGATCTGAATAGAGAAAATATCACTTCTCCTAGAAAAAAAATTAATTCTGTTCCTTCCTTGACAAGTATAGAGGTATTTATCTTCATACCTGCCAGAGTTGTAGTTCAGTGTTGAATGGCTCTGCTATAGTGACAATCCGGCCAAGGTTTCTGTCATTGAGTGTATATCTGAAGAGAAATTTAGGGGAGGAAAAGGGTATGTAAGTGCCCAGAACTTTAAATATTTTCTCTAAATGCAGACATATCCTTTTTATTTTGGGAGTTTTTTAAAAAGTAATTTGCAAAGTACAGAAAGTACAAAACACAGTAAGTAAACATATTTAATTTAAAATCCAATTCAGGAGAAATTCTCAGCAAATTCTACACTTCTTTTTGTAGACATATCCACACCACTTACTCAGAGATGGTAGACTGCTTGTTACATTCCCCAAATCTGTTCTCCTTTTTTCCTGCACACATGAGAACCACAGTCAGATGACATTTCTCAGCCTTCCTCATAGCTAGGTGCAGACAGGTGATCCAGTTCTCATCAGTGGAATATGAACAAAAATGATATATTCGGGGCTTCCTTGGTGGCGCAGTGGTTAAGAATCCGCCTGCCAATGCAGGGGGCACGGGTTCCAGCCCTGGTCCGGGAAGATCCCACATGCTGCGGAGCAACTAAGCCCGTGTGCCATAACTACTGAGCCTGTGCTCTAGAGACCGCGAGCCACAACTACTGAAGCCTGTGTGCCTAGAGCCCATGCTGCGCAACAAGAGAAGCCACCACAATGAGAAGCCCGCACACCACAACAAAGAGTAGCCCCTGCTCGCCACAACTAGAGAGAGCCCACGCACAACAATGAAGACCCAATGCAGCCAAAATAATAAATAAATGATTAATTTTTTTGAAAAAGAAGTGATATGTTCAACTTCCACCTCCTTGCTTAAGTAAAGGGAAATTGCTTGCCTTGGACTTTTTTTTTTTTTTCCCCTCCCCTTTTTCCAAACTTCAACCACACAGATAGAATAAGGTCAGACTAGCCTAACAACTTGGAATGCTCATTTCAGGAGACCAACCTGAGTGAGAAATAATTATTTATGTCCTTTAAGCTGCTGCATTTCTGTGTTTCTGTTACAGCAGAATAGCTCTATCACCTTTATCCTAACTAACACTTCCTGTCTTCCTGCAGGTGCAGGAATTTGAATATAGGCTATTTATTCTGCTTTCAAAAAGCTTTATTAGCTGCTTGCATATTTGGGGTTATGATCTATATCAGTCTGCTAAGCAAAGACACTTGAAGCTGGGTACAAAGATAGCACTTTAGAGATAATATTCTATTCCTATCTCTTTTGCATTTTCTCTCTTAAAGAACAAGAATCAGAAATTTCTTTATAGACCAAAATACAAATCATTGTAATACAGGTAAAAATTTCATCCCAATTAATCACAGTGTAAGAAAAATAATCACAAGAATTATGTATAAACCTTGAACTGTTGGAATGTTGGGGAAAGATAAAGGAAAATATATCAATATATAAAGAGGTAAACAGGAGAAATTTTACATTTAAAATTTATCACATAACAGAAGCAGAAATTGTGAAATAAAAAGTAATAAAGTTTGTCACATACACATTACAAAATTTTATACTAAAGAAAAACTGCCATAAAATTAAAAATTTATTATTTTGTTTTAAAAAGGGCAAATATTTTCACTATAAAAAGAACCCTTACAGATTGATAATAGGGAGAAATATGCGAACATGAAATTAGTGAAGGAATGAGTCAGCAGTTTTCAAAAGAAATGTAAAGAGAAAATGTATTAATGGAAACAGATGAAATGTTCTAATAATTATCCACAATTTCAGTATACTAGGTCCAGTGTTCACTCTTATCACAGACACCATTGAATTTAAATCCATTATGTCTTTCATCTTTCTTCTCTTAGAAATCTAAGGCAAGCAGTTTCCCTTTACTTAATGTCATCAGCCATTATTCAAAATGTAAGAATCTCAGTCATCTATGCTCAACACTGTCCTTATAATGTGTGTACCTCCTTGCCTCTGACTTAGCTGTCTAGAGCTGCCCAACCTCTCAAACCCGCCACCTGACCCTCTGGAACTGCCCCTTTACAGGGAATACTACTTATTTGGAGAATGTTTATTTTCCCACATCCTCCATAGCACCAGGTCAGAAAGGGAATTGGTGTGGTCATGCTCCCCATTGTGGATTCCCAACCATTATTCCTCCACTCTCTCTTTAAGAACCTCTGTTCCTTCAGGTTATTCCCCTTCATCTCATTTATGATACACTTTGGCACCTGACTCCTATCATCCTTTCTACAGGCCATGATTTCAAGGTCCACATGGATGAAGATATAACAGCTTAGCGCCTTACTTTCTTGACCTCCTCATTTCCAATGGTATTTTCTCCACTCTACTCCAGCCACCAATTCCCATCATCATACCTTGTGATTATCCATAGGTACTCTGACTCTAAAATTATTAATTTATGCATGCTCCATGACATAATTTACCATTCACTTTCCACTATGACCATTCTTTGATGTTATCTGGATTTCTGACCCATTGACCATCCCTACCCCTACTTTCTTCTGGATCATCAGCTCTTCCTTTGCTTTCATTTGTTTCCTTATATAGTTTAGATTCCATGGTCTACCATTTTCAGTAACATTTTTGCCTAAGCCCTAAGCGCCCTTATATTTCAGTAATTTGAGTCTGGCAAAACTCCAGCTTTGGGTGAAATTAACTGCTCATTTCCTTTGTTTGTACCACCTAGACACATTCTGTCAAGGGAGGTCACCCAACATTCCCCATATTGTTTCACTATAAATTCATGGCTGTCAATCTTAAATGGGCCCTTCACATTGACAGTCCTGCATTATCCTGGTCAACTCATTCTGTTCCTCTTTGAATTGCCTTTTGCAAATGTTTTCACTCTCTTAAAACCTCCAAACACTCTCCCTCTTCCCTTCCTCCTCAGATGATCTTGTCTTCTAATTCACAGAGAAAATACATAGTAACCTCTACATCTTTTAGCTTACAAACATATAAATATACCTGTTTTCCTTCTATCTGTGCTTTGGTTCCTATTTCTCCCTCACTTTCTCAAAAACATTAATTTTCAAAAAATCTTTTTCCTGTCTTACATATTAAATCTCTCACTCTTCACTGGATCTGTCTCATCAGCTTTTAAGTATATTAAACATATTAAAATATCTTCCATATAAAAAAAGGGAAAATCCTCTCCCTTGATCTAGCATCGCTCTCTTAATATCTTCTCTCACCTCCCCATTCATAGTCAAACTTTTCAAGAGGCTTCTCTACATTTCTTGCCTCTATTGTCTTACTACTGACTGTTATTTGCTTCCATTTGAGTTTTGCCCCCACCACTCCACTGAAAGACTCTTTCTGAGTTACCAATAAGTTTAGTGAGCATTTTTATTCTTTGATTTATTCAAACCTTAAGCAGCATTTGGCAAGGGACTCTAACTTCCTTGAAACAATCTCCACTTTAACATCTCAAAGGAGACTCAAAAGGCAGATATATATATATATAGAGAGAGAGAGAGAGAGAGAGAGATAGATAGATCTGAACTCATGGTTCTTCTGCAAACTTTTTCTGGAAATTTAGACATTTAATTCTTGTCACCTCACTTGTCTCCCATTTCTAATCTACCAAATTCTAAATGTTCTTATCTTTTCATCTTCACCATTACATCCATAGTACAGTGTCTCACTGTCTTTTGCTGGGACTACTCCAATAGCTCTGTAATTGCTTTCCTCAAATTCGCTCTGGTCTGTGCTTTACTTTACCACCAGAGCTTTCTTTTCAGAGTAAAATTGATCATTTTACTTTCTTACTTAAAACCCTGTAGTGACCTTATCATTGCTCTTAGAACAAAAGCCCAAATCTTAATGTGACCCTGAAAAACTTAGCCCTTATCTTTTCTCTTTTCTGATAGTAGGCATTCAACCAGGAAAGCTTTGCCTCCTGTTCATATAATTCACTCCTGTCCTTCCTTCAGGATTCAGCTCAATCATCACTCCCTTAGGAAAGCCCTTAACCTTCAATTTCTCTTGACTTGGTCAGTTTCCCCATTACACTCTTTCAGTGTGTCCTGAACCTCTTCTATTTGTAGTTATTACAGTTTTAACTGTACTACATGTATTTGTGTGATTCTTTACTTAATATTGATCTTCATTATTAGACTCTAAGCTCCTTGAGAACAGAGAACCAGATGTTTCTCCTTGTATACTGTTGTACTTTGAGTACCAAGCACTGTGCCTAGCACATAGTAGATGCTCCACAATATTTACAGGATGAAAGAATTATAATTTAAAATGAGATATCAGTTTTCATGTACTCAATTAGCAAGAATATTTTTAAATGGCAGCACTGGGTATTGTCAAGGGTTGGAAAAATAGTCAAAGTTAATAGTAAATTTTGTTGTGGATGACAGTTTTGCAGCACTCATCAGAAACTCTAAAAATGAACACATCCTTTAACACAGCAATATTACTTCTACTATTATTTTTATCCTAAGGAAATTCTCAAGGATGTTCAAAGAGAACAGAGGTTCAGTTTCAAAGATGTTCATCAGTACATCATTTATACAGTGGAAAGTTTGGAACAATTTTATTATCCAACAGATGGAGACTGGCTAAGTAAACTAAGATGTATCTACACATTGAAATATGACTGAGAATTTAAAATAACATCGAAGAAGCATACTTAAAGACATGAAAAGATATCCACAATATAGGATAATGTAAGAAAAAGCAGGTTATAAAACCGTATGTCTGGGCTTCCCTGGTGGCACAGTGGTTGAGAGTCCGCCTGCTGTTGCAGGGGACACGGGTTCGTGCCCCGGTCCGGGAAGATCCCACATGCCGCGGAGCGGCTGGGCCCGTGAGCCATGGACGCTGAGCCTGCGCGTCCGGAGCCTGTGCTCCGCAACGGGAGAGGCCACAACAGTGTGAGGCCCGCGTACCACAAACAAAACAAAACAAAACAAAAAACATATGTCTAATATAATAAATAAATGAACAGCCATAGAAAAATGGCTCAAGGAAAAACAGTGTGACAACAGAGGTTATTTTTAGGTGGTGGGTTTATGGGTGATTTTTGTATCCTTATTTTTGCTTATCTGCATTTTGTGCAAAACAATACACACCTATTTTATAATAAGAAAATTGAGATTTTAAAAAAGGAAATCACACTAAGTTCCTGTAATGATATTTTACAGATTCAAAGAAAGTCTGTTATTACAGGTAAGGAAACAGTTTTTCCAGTGACTTTCTATAATTTCTATAATATTCCTCTTCTGTTTTGTTCTTTGTGACTAAAAATTGAAGAATATATTTAGAAACTAGCAATGAATAGATTGAATAAAAACTGCAACTACCTGTATAAATATCAGAAATATAAAAACAAAATATGTTCATTCCAAGAAACCATCATATGAAGTGTACCATTTAAGGGGAAATATGCTGTATATCATATTTGATTACTTTTAAAACTAAAATAAGGATTTAATTATATCTTAAATATTTTGAAAAATAATTATGTAAAAATAATCTTCTTAGATTTAATATTTATGTAAGTACTATTATGTTATCCAGAAGAAATGGTTTTGATGCACTTAAAACTTTTAGTTAAGTGCTTATTAAATTATCTTGTTTATGAGATACTGTTTAAATGACTTCAGTCATGTCCCATTGACTTAATTTTTCATTCATAGTCATAAATTTAAATCAAACTTTATCACACCACACTATATTGGCTTATTGAGTTCATTCAACTTCATAGTTTCATGTAAGAGTTTAATGGAATAAACAAAAGCAAATAATAATTTCTGAAGTATCTTTGGAACTTTGTGGTTAAGTCTCAAAGTATAAAGGACATTAGTGGTGTGGCCATCAGCTGTCATAAAAATCACCTAACAAAAGCTTTATAAAAAAGCAGCTTATTTATTTTAAGACGACAATAAATTGTTCAGAAACAAAGACAATAAAACCACACATTCTGAAGTCTGGAAAACATTTAAGAGTTTGAAAATATTTGGCTAACGCTTGGATCATTTCTATTTAATTTGTCTTATCCAATTTTAATGGGGAAATTATATATTTTTCAAACTAACCATAATTAATATTGGGCTTTTTTGTATCTGACATGTGGTTATTATATAATTTTATGTTTTAGGCTATTTGAAATGATATGAGAATTAGATCATTAGACTATGAAGAAATATTAAAAGCCTTGGGAGAGGGTTTTGGAACTAGCACTGCAAATACTTCATCAATTTGTTTTTCCTGAAAATTTCAACATTAGGTCTAATAGATTTAAGGCCAACTGTTTATGACTTTATGGCAATGTAACACCTATTCTTTTTCCTACTTCTTAATTCTCAAGAGGTATAACAATGAGCTAATTTTTAAAAATGAAATATGCATTATTTGAAATAACTCACATGACAGCAATTCAAATAAGCCTTGAGAAATATTCTGTTTAATAAACAATAAGGAAGTGCCCACTTTATTATGTAAAATAGAATATTATTTACTTATATTTTCACAATAATTTAATAGTAAGCATTTTTTTATCTACATAGGTTTCTTACAGCATGTACCAAAAAAAAAGTTGCGTAGTCTTTTCGATTAAAACAAAATACACAGTACGTGTCATTAGCCATATATCTTTCAAAATGGAAAATACTACCTTGCATAATATGAACTATTACCTCCAGATAACATGTTCTCAATAGGTAGATTTATTAATTCTAAACCAAATAGTTTATTGAAACAATTATAAACAGATGAACAGAACATCATATACACACCACACACACACATACACAAGCATGCCAATCAATCTTCATAGAAATGGATGAGCAGTTACATTCAATAGTTGCAAGAATACAAAAGACAAAAATTTATCACAAGTAAACAAAAGCAATGTAGGGTATCTTTGCTGAGAGCTAGAGATATAATTTGGATCTCAGAAGGATAAGAAATGTGAATGAACATAATGGCACACTGGTTAATTGTAGGGTAGAAAAGAGTATAGAAATAAAAAGTTATCTTTGCAGTTAGTATTTCTGATAAGGTGGTCATTATGCACTAGGCAGTGCTGAAGGGAAGACGAGAGATTAGGAGGAGATGACAGAGGCCATTTCTTGGTATGGGGATTATAGATGGTATAGTTCTTTGGTCAGTGTTTACATATTTGTTTGGGACATATAATCTATATTTTATACCCTGTCAAAGAAGTATCTTTTTAATGGAAATAAGCATTAAATTTAGAGGATCAAGACCAAGAGTAGCAACATTTCTTCCATATGAGGCGGAAGAAATAAGAAATTTAGGAAACCATCTCTTTAGCTCATTTGTTCATCTCTTGTCCTTGCTCCTTATTTTAAAACTGCTATTGCCCGGGAAATATAGTTTGCTTTTAAGAAGGGAGGAATTAGGAGATTGGGATTGATGTATATACACTATTGATGCTATGTATAAAATAGACAACTAATGAGAACATACTGTATAGCACAGGGAAATCTACTTAATGCACTGTGGTGACCTAAATGGGAAGGAAATCCAAAAAAAGAGGGGATATATGTATATGTATAGCTAATTCACTTTGCTGTACAGTAGAAACTAATACAACATTTTAAAACAACTATACTCCAATAAAAAATAATTAAAAAAAAAAGAAATTTTCAAAATACCTAAAGCTTAATTATCTGGTTAAGGGTGGCAAAAGTTATCCATATGAACTCAGTAAGATGTAGGGCTCTAATGGGAACCCAGGTCCAGGAATTATCATTTCGTTTTCATTAAAAATTAATTCAGAACTAAATATGTGCCTGGCATTATGCTAGGTGCTAGCACAATAGGCAGAATTAACTTGTTTTAACCAAACTAAAAATAATGCTTAGTCATCTTTGCAGATTTCAAAATTCTTTTGATCAGTTGGAAACACTACTTTCCAGAAAATGAATTATGCTTAAAATTAACTAGTACATTGCTTCCCTGGAAGGAAAATACCATGATCCTTACCTCTGATAATATACCATTTCAGATATCGTGTAGATGTCAGAGAAAGCACAGAAAAGAGAAAAAGAAAGAACTTGTGGATGGTATCAGACAGAACAATAAACCATTATCTGATCATCCCACCTGTTGACTAGATATTCCCAGTTGAGCTGTATCCAATTCCAGGCCATAGTCTTCCCATAGCTATTATATGAGATGTATCGAATGACTGTAAACACATCCTGAGTTTTAATAAGATTTGAGTCCTTGAGCAAATCCAAATATCTAAGAGAAGCCAAACAGAAACACAATTCAAAATGAACTTTTAGTGTTCACCCTTAGCTAAATTCCAATAGAACATCGCTTTCATTCCAGTAATTCAATTCTTGAGTCACCAGTTGACACAGTCAATTAAGTAAGACAAATGATAAAACACAATTTAATATTTTCTAAAATATTTAACTTTTTAAAGAACAACCTATAATTTTGAGGACTAGTGTAATGTAAACTTTAGGAACATTTAAATTATTTTGGAGGTACTAAAAACAACCACAATTTCAACTATTAATTTAAAAAATTATTTGTATTTATTTAATAGAAGTACTTCATCCATTTTACCTGGTTATTCAATTATACTAAAAACCCCCCCCAAAACCAGCAAATTAAAGGAAAGTACTTATATTATTATTTAATATGGGATTACAGTTGTCTTATTTGCTCTTCCCTAGATTGTAAAAAAACAACTTTCTAATGTAACTTGTATGGTTGGATTAGTTGGCTATAATTATGGTATAATGCAAATAAGTGCAAGATAAATTAAGTGACCAAATCAATAGATTTTTGTTAAATTTATGTCGTGGCTGTACCCAGAGGGAATATCTGAACGTGCTCTGGTAAACTTCCAGAAACTGCACTGGTGTGGTGGGCTCCTGAATTTTGTACAATTTATCTCTGATCCTCTAGTTCACAAGAGTCTTAGTAAGGCATCTAAGTACTTGCTAATTTTCTCATCATATACAATTAGCACAATGCCATCAAAGTAATGAATCAATATAATGTTTTGTGGAATGTCAAGATGATCAAGTTCTTGATAGACTATCTTAGGGCAGAGAGAAGAATTCACATATAGCCCTAAGGTGAGATGGTGAAAGTGTATTGTTAGCCCTGCTAAGTAAAAGCAAACTGCTTCTAGTAGTCCTTATAGAATGGTTATTGCATTGTAATTTACTATTTATATTCTGCTTCTCCCAGGAACCTTTAAGTTTCTCAAGGATAGATTTCATTCTTGTTCATTTTTATTCCCACAACCTATATACCTGTACATAGAAAGGACATCTTAAGTGTTGTTTAAATGAAGTAAATAACTCAGAAACCATAACTAAGCAAAAAATAAAAAAGGCAGAAGCTAGTTGATTTGGGACATAGATGTGGAGTGGGAGAACATTCATAAATGGGCTTCAAGCAGTCTTTGTACCTTCTGAGTGGAATGTAAATACCTTTTGGGTGTGTGTCTATGCATGTTGTGGCAGACACTCCTCTGCTGACAGAGACCAGTTTTGTTCTGGGCTTGGGTCAAGGTATCCTTGATCCTAGGGAAGGTAAACTACTACCCCTTCCTCAGAGTATCATGATTGACCCAAATCAGTCAAAGGAATTCAAGTTCATCCTAGTCAGCAAATGATCAAATGGTAGATCCAGAGTATAACCCAGAATGATCAAGGGTGACCTAGTTCTGGATTATGAGGGGAAGTGGAGATAACTGACATCTTATCATAAAAGACAGAGCCTTGTGAGGAGGAGCTCTTTTGCTCCTGTCCTTCTTCCATTGAATGTATTTGTGTGAAGGCAAAATGCTTGGAGCTCTGGAAGTCATAAGACGTCCAACATGTAGAGGATGGCAGAAAAGAAAGAGAAAGAGCCTAGGTCTTGGATGAAAATGTTGAACCACTGTACACAACTGGAAGTTCCCTACCTCCAGAATTTTTTTATATGAGATTACATGTCTTTATTTTTTAAGCAACTCTTACAGGGGTATTTTGTTTCTTGCCAGGAAAATAATTATTTAATAGATTTTCTTGGAAACATATCATCCATAATTAGCATTTTAAAGAGACTGTGACATATAAATTATCAAGTACCAATACACGTAATTTTTTCAAAAGTTCCAGCTTACCTTGACAAAATAGTAACATTCTTCAATGATGCTAATCCGTACAATAGCTTTTCTTTTTCTTGAGCTAATGAAGTTTTCTGGTATTGCTGAAGAGTGTAGTTCCATGAAGTCTCATTGCCAGAGTTCTGCATTCCATACCGATATACCAGAAGCCTGAGATTTACAGGAAGACTAGAAGAAGAAACAGTATTTCAGAGATTTTAATTCCTCACTTCTCAGTTTAAAGTCTTCCAGAAATGAAAACATGGTGAACAGTCACCTTACAGTCCCAGTTAGCCACGCCTGAAATAGCTGGGAAGCGTTGTTCAAGGCATCGCTGTCTCCCATCTTGCATGCGAGCCCTAATACAGAGGCACGGAGTAATCTAAGAAAAGAAACACACACAGAGCTGGGGCCTTGACCACTTTTCAACATGTCTTAACATATACAAACGAATACTAAATGAATATTAATTTTTAAAAAGGTAAAAAATAACTTTGTGAGGTGGTCTCCAGTATCGTTCCATCCCAGAGAATCTGCAATGGGCTTCACTTGATCTCGGAAGTATTTCTGAAATAAAAGCACCATGCAGAGTGAGTAATAATTTACTATTTAGCAACAGTCTCCCGTTTATTATAATCTACAGTTCCCTGTGGTAATCTTTTCCCCTACTAGCTCAGAGAACTTTGGGCCTGTCCTAGGAAAGGGATGTATTAAAGTTTTTATAACATTGTAATTTTACTTCAGTCCCGAACATAAGAACATCCTGGATCACTCACTCTCTAATGTTTTATAGAACTTTGGGTAAGCCCCTTTTAACCTCCACTTCTTAGTTAACATGTGTAATAAATAGAATAACACCTGACATACTTACCTCACTAAGGAAGATTGCTCAAGTATCGATGAAATGATAACTAATATTTGTATATTGGCTTAGGATTTAAAAATGACATTTATATTATATGATTCTCACTATTCCATTACCATAGGCAGCCAACTGCTGACATTCCTATTGTACAAAGGAAACAAAGACTCACAAATATGAAAGCATTTGTCCAAGTTATTTTATAAAGAAAGTGGAAGAGCTAGACATTGGAATCCAGAATTTGTTTAAAATTACAAGTGTCCTGCAAAAGTGCTGCAGAAATCACAAAGCCAAGAAAACCATTTAGAATGACTATCTTATAATAAAATCTCAATGTGGAAATAATAGCAGTAAGAATAAGGAAAAATTATGTCATATTTTGATGAGAATAGATTCATTTTAACATAGATAAATCCATTAAAAATAGGATCTAGTTTGTATCTATGGTTTAAAATATTGTTTATTTTAAATAAAATATTAACTATTGTATTGCTTCTAACACTAAAATACACCTTTAAGTGGTATACTGAACCAGAAATACTGATACATTTCAAGTTGAAAAAACAAATAGCATCTCTTTGATTTGATTAGTCAAGTCATTATAATTTCCTTTGATTTCACTTGGCAGGCAAGATATGCTTTTGTGTTTCCCAGGAGCTCCTTCTCTCAGAAATCTTCCTATTCTGCTAATGGCTAAACATCTCCTTTCATAAGATATAGCATTAACATTACCTCAATCATAGGGTATAGCTCTTTATCATCTTCAAACATGCTAATAATATAGGTTACAGCTGAAATGACTCTCTGCCATGGTAAAAATTCCTCTTCCATTTTGAGATACTTGGTCAAGTTCAGAGCCTCCTTGTAATTTAGAAGTTGAGCTCTAAGAAACAAAAAGAAAGCCCACAGTAAATTAAAAACCACAGACTAGTTTCCTTCGACTGAAAGTACTAATATGGGGATCACAGACTTCAGTGTTAATGAGAACCCTTCCATTAAACAATTAAGAAAATGCATTACTGTTAAGGCCCAATCAAAGAGGTTTGTTCACAATGATGTATTAGTGCTTTCATGTGTTCAGTAATAAAGGGGAAGAGAGAACATTAAGGTGTGCATTTGAAAAATTGCTATGGCAGAATTTTAGATAAAACGAAAGCCATTTAGCTATACAGTTAATATTGACAAATAGAAACTTTTAAATTTTAGGTTCACAAGCTGATTGTAGTATACAAATGCACCTTTATAAGTGTATTGTATTGAATTTTTTTACATTTGACATGAATAGGAAATATAACAGTACTCGAGAATCGTGAATGTTTAAAACATTCCAATTGAACTTGTATTTACCATAAAAACATCTCCTTTTTATACATTTTCCAATAATATTGATAAATAAAAATAGATTTTGTTTCTCAAAAAAATGTGAAGTTACCATCGACATTTCAAAGTTTAAAGAGTTCGATTTCTTCCTCCTTAGAAAAGATTTTGGAACCTTTTGAAATAATGTTCTCAGAAATCTGTTATGCCTCAAATTTCAGCCTAGGTTTTGGAAAGAATCTTAGATAGGAATCCTGTCTTTCCAAATTACATTTTGAAAGTTAAAGAATAAACTTTAAATTATTGAGAAAGTAATACTGATGCATTGAGTGCTAGTATATTTGAGGTCATTTTTTGTGAATGGCAAATAATGTAACCATATCTTGATTTTTCCCCTGAGAGTTGATAAGATAAACTGGTATTGGAGAGCTAGATAAGAATAAACACCTTTGGTATCATATGATTTGCACTAATGTGATATGATACAGTTTGTTTTCAGTTCAGAGAGCTGATTTCTTCTATTTTCTCAGTTCCTGATCTTATTTAGAAGAATTTATATTTTGGAGCATTCAGCCTGTCTTAATAAAAGTATAAATAATATTGAGAAATGGAGTGTTTTATTGAGAATGTTTGTTGAGTAAAAAAAAAAAATTGTAGAGTTTTATGTTGACGGTTGAAACTTGAGAATTTTCTAATTTTAATGATTCTCTATTTTCCCGGGTGGATAGCACAACAGTCAGTTGTGCAACAGTCCAGTCAGTATTTTCTTAGACTACTTATGAAGAATAATTGTTGCTCTGAGGATCAAATTAACGAAAAGGCTAATGAAAGTTCAGGAAGAATGGCAGGTAATTTGGTTAGAAACCTCGTGGGCTGCACATTTATAGTAGGTGAAAAGATTAGAAGGAGTGGGTCTTGGTTACAAAGGCCAAAAGAATTGGCTAAATTAGCATAAGTAGAAGTAAGGAAGTAATCCAATGATCCAAAGGTTAGAGGCCCTGATGAAATACTATATATTTAACTGTTGAAAAAATCAATATCCTATCCTAGTGCCTTGTTTTTTCAACATACTTGATAGCTATGCAGTTGTTCCACTTTGGTATCACTTGTTTAAGTTTGAGTCACATGGTCAGAACACTGGACTGAGAGTGAATTTTTTGCTGGTTATTATAGAGATAATATTTCGAGAATTAAGTTGATGCACTTTTCATTTCCCACAAATCATGTTACTCTGTGGTATTTGATACTTCCGAGGAAGAGCAGTATCATTTAGAATCATGATTCTCAAGTTTGTGCATGTATCAGTAACACCTGGAAGGTTTGTTAATCACATACCCTTGGGCCCTATCCCTAGAATTTCTGATTCAGCAGGTCTGGAGTAGGGCCTAAGAAGTTGCATTTCTCATAAGTTCCTAGGCAATGCTGATACTACTGGGACGACGAGTGAAGAATCTGTTTTTAGAACAAAGACATGTATAGTGCCCTTCCCTCCCAGACCCCCTTACAGTGCTGCGCTGGCTCATAGCTGCACTTTCCTCAGAGAATAGCCCTTGACCAAATACATCCATCTGGCTTAAAAGGTTATGCTACCCCCACCCTTGGCCATTAATTGTCTGATTTAGGAATGTAACAGGCCAGCCTGCTTCCCTCAAGTTGGATCCACTCTGTAGTACAATTCATGGATATGGCTTCCTACTGGAATCTGGCAAAGCTAGACTCCAGCTGAGTCCATATTGTTGCTCAGCCTTTTTCCCTGCCCCAGCCTGCTTCTCGCACTCCCTATCTCACGAGAGTACTCTCTCAGTAAACCACCTATTCAGGAACCTCCATTTCAGACTCTGCTTTGAGGGAACTCAACCTAAGACAGCATTTTTACTCAGCTTTGAGTCTCAAACTCTGTTAAATCCATAGACCAGCAGCAGCTCTGAAAGCCAGATTTGGTTGAGAATTTTCCTTGTTCAGAAATCTTCCATTTATAGTAAGAGTCCAACCTGAGGAACTTAAATCCTAGAATTGTCCTGTAATCTATAGTGTGGAGAGGATGGAGGCTATAAACTTAAAGTTCTCACAAAATGCTGTAAAGAAGAAGAAAACAAAGAGGTCTTTTGAGGGAATTCTTACTTTCCTGTCTTGGCCTGAGGTACCCAGAAGATCGGGGAATCTGGAACAAAAGGTTTGTTTTTGCTTCCTCCGGTGTGACCTGGAAAGACTGCACAGTCCTTCTCCAAGAAGTTCAAATTAAACATAGTGTCATGGCTTTCGAATGGGACATTAGAAATGGTTGAGAGAGGTGGTTATGTGGATAGAACTGACTCCATGGTCTCTCGTTCTTCAGCAGAGCCTTCAGATGGTGTGGAGACTTTTGAAAACTTCCCATGTGTCTGGTCTCTCGATGTTAACTTACTAATTAAATTCAGATTTCTGGCTTAAAACAGTCTCTTTGCAATCAGCTGGATCCCTTTCAGAGTCTTTCCGCATTCCCCTACTTCTCCCTTCTTTAAAAGGCAGTCCTTGATAGGGTGCGAAAAGTTGCTTATCTAGTTCTGTGTTGTGGTCTGGTCAGCTCTGTTAGCACCTGTAAAATGGTAAATCTGGTGTACCTAGAAGTCTGTAATCTCGGTGTGGCTGATGTTCACCTTGTCTTTATTTGCTAACCTGGCCCTCATCTTGGAAAGCACTGGAGCCACTACACCTTGAAGCCTGACTGAAAGTCTGTTTGGATCATTAGCTTAGGGGGCCTTTGAAGCCATCCTTTCTGCCACTCCTCCCTTGCCTAGGGACTCCTGGTCCCTCCCATGTGCCTGCTAGCCAGCACTCTCTGCTTTCCCTTGTGCTGTTCCTCACCCACTCTCTTTGTCACACAGTGGGCTGCAGAGTGCCATATAAGCTACTGAAAAGGTAAAAAATCTGTAACAGGTAGACAAAAGAAGGATTTTTTCTGTCTCAGTTTTGGCAAGGCCTCCAAACCAAGCCCCTTAACCTACACTCCAAAGTAAGACGCAGGCCCATCAAATTAGGACTGACATGGTTAGGAACAGGTTTTTGTGACCCTTAGCTGATAGCCCACTACCAGCCTGCGAAAGAGATTGGAGCGGCAAAGGGGGAGAGGGAGACATTTTAGAAGAGGGCTTTTGGAGGATTCTGTCAGTGTACTGTGAATGCTGTCCTCCCACAGGGGACAGGAGGGTGTAGGATGCTTTTCCCCTCACATGAAGCCTAGAAAAGGGGCTTTAATGGAACCACCTGAAGAGTTTTATCTGTGTACCCTGGAGCTTGGGGGCACAGTGGTCTGGTGTCTGATACCCCAAGAAATCTAAAGGATGAGAGGCTGTGGTTGCTACTGCTCTGACATCGGAGTGAAGATAAAGGACTGCATGAGGTTGCCCATCCTTCCAGACCTTGTCGGGGAAAGGATATATGAATACTTCCTGTAGACTGGATGCGGTTCAGAGGTTTTCACTTCCTCACCTCAAAGAACTGCAGGAGAAAGACCCTTGGCAATGGAATGTGTGTGGATGGTACATATTCCGCGAAAGCACCACACAAGGAAAAGGATCGGTGTTAGACATCTGCAAAGTTCAGAGAGGACCAGAAGTAGACAGCATGTCAGGATCTTTCCTGCCTTCATCTGCCCTCCTTCTGCTCTTCTTGCCTTAACACTGGAGGAATCAGAGGCAGCATGGTGAGAAGTAGAAGTTCCATGCAGCAAAATGGAGAGGAAATCAAGCGCTTTATTCCCATTGCAGGGGGCTGGCCTGAAACTAGCCTGAGCTGGGGGCTGGGAGGAACTTTAAATGAAGTTGAACATTTGAGGGTTTTACTGGGCAGGGCATATAGTTGAAGTGAGTCTGTTGTGGGGACTCAGAAGTGACTGGGTGAATTTTTACTCCTTATCTTCAACAAATGTGCCCAGCTGGATATTCCATCCAGGGCAGTAAGAGTACTAGCTCCTCAAACCTGGGGGCAGGGGTATCAAGCATATTTTTGTTTTTAGATCCGCCCTTTTAGTCTTGCTGATGAAACAATAGTTCCATTTCTTTTTGAATACCAGAGTAGAATTGTGTAAATTCTAATGCAACCACGTGCACTTACCCATCTAAGTACGCATTTCTGCTTTTCTCCAAAGTTTCAGAGTGATCTGGACCTGACTCTAACCAGCACAGGTGGGGTCTGTTTCTCTTTGAGTCCCTTTTACCTCATGCATTACAGAAGGAAATTGGGTGATAACTCAATAGCTCAGGCGATATTTCAGGTGATAGCTAAGGTATTTTCTGGATTGGTTGCTGTGTGATTCTACATGTTTCTTGGCTTTCAAATTTGTTTCACTTTCTGCCTTTCTGAAGCTCTTCAAAATTTTATGGGCTATGGCCAAGGAGCTGAGCAAATGTGAGAAAGTCATTCAGTTGTGTGAGTTATCTGCTTTGTACACAGTTCCTCAGAGAAAGCTGTTCAAGAGGCTTTCACTTCTTAAAGCAAAAGAACTGTCTGCGTTGTGTTGTGATGGAAATTAAACTATAAGGTTATTACAGCTCTGTGTAATTTTTAACAGCCAAGATTCTAAGCTTTGGAAGAGATCACTATGTTTCCACAGCAGAGAGTTTTCCTGAAAAAAAAAATCTAAATGGTCCTATTATGTTTTAAAATGTTTATTTTTTAATTTTTTGGCCGCACCACATAGCTTTCGGGCTCTTAGTTCCTCGGCCAGGGATTGAACCCGTGCCCTCCACAGTGAAAGCGCGGAGTCCTAACCACTGGACCGTCAGGAAATTCCCTAAAATGTTGATCATTTTCTTTTACCACTTAATTTCCCCAGTCTACACAGTACCAGGTACAGAGTAGGTGCTCAATATATATTTATTAAATGAGTGATTGACATACCATAGCATAATGAAAATAATTAATCTGTTACATATCCAGGAGATTAAACTTGGAGATCCACCAAAGAGAATCAAGTTGTCTGTTACCTACAAAGGGAATCTAGATTGCAAATTCATAAGAGCTTTTCTAAATGCTTCTTTGCTGCTACTAAACAATGGTGGATGCTTTTTCATCAAGTAATACAATCTACTGAGCACTTCCTAAAGACCAGACAGTGTTTGGTGTCCCTTATGTGCATTATTTCATTTACTCCTCATGAGAGTCTTATAAGGTCATCTCCATTTTACTAACAATAAAATTGAAGCAGAGACAGGTTAAGAAACTTTCTCAAGGTTATTCAGAACCAGGATTTTAACCTGGTTTGAGAGCTTGTTTTTTAACCCTATAAATTCCCTCCTTAAAAATGTCACAAATGTTTTCTGACTTCCAGTATACTATCTAGGGAGTCCATGTAAGATAGTTCTCCCATGCCTTTAGTGCTGCTATACTATCCTTCCAGCCATGTATTCAGCTCATATTTAATGAACATCTACTAGGGGCCGGGCACAGTTAGGAGCTGGGGATAAAATGAATAGGAACATGATCTAGGTGCCTACCTTTGTGAAACTTGCAGTTTGGTAGGTGAGATGGATAATTAATAAGCATTGACAATATAATATTATTGGAAATGCAGGACCCCATAAAAGGGACACCTAACACAGACAAAGGGGCCATGAGGCTTCCTGAGGAACTAGCATCTCATTCTCAGTACCTTGCTTATGTCTAAAATGAGGCCACTACAAAGCCAGCAGAGCAAGTTGGCTGTGTCCCTAGCTCCTACAAAAGTGCCAGAAATTCAAAAAATACTTGTTGAATTACTAGTGTTAGACTACCTGAGAAAAATGTCTCAAAGGTACTGTGGTTACTATTCTTACATTACCCCAATCTATGTTGATTATTTTTTTCAAAGTGTAGGTTGTTTTTTTTCTAAGTGTAAGTTACCTTCAGGCCATGAGAAAAAAATTCAAATTTCCTAAACAGTACCTTAATTCAATCCTAGGGTGCTATGTCTCATACTTCTTACCCCAGTGACCTGAATAAGATTTGATAACTCTAACCATAAAATCTTACAATGGGCTTGGGCTCACAGAGATGAGTTAATGAAACACACTGTTCGTCTTTTTAATAAATCAAATTATGACAGTACACTTTTGTGCATTTGCAAGTGTCACTCCTAATTAGCTCAAGGACTCTGATTAGACAAACCCTATCTAAAGTCAATAGGATAGGTGAGTTTTTGTGTATGTTGAGTTGATATCAATATTTTAGCTATAAGGCTCATATTAATTTTAAAAAAACTTATGAAAAAATAATGTAAATAGTGGCTTCGGATATTTAAAACTATAAATTAGTACTTTGTTGTAATTCATTTTTAAAAAGATTTATGACAAGATCCACAGTATTTTAAACGATTGAATCTCATCCCAAAACCCACCTTGCCAAGGCAAAAGCGTCATCGATAAGACTTGCACGATCAGCAGAAGAAAAGTACTGGGAAGAGAAAGAAAAAAAGGTAAGAAACATGAATCTTAAAATGAAACGTGTTGAAAAATTAATGTCATTATGATGCTGTTCTTAGAACAAAAAGAAAACAATTCACAACCTGCTATTCTTACCTTGTGGTTGAGGGAAAGATCGGTAGCTATCCATTCCCAAGTTGATACTTCATAATTTACACGATAAAACCCAATATGGTCTGGGTTTATTTTGAGAAAAGTGTTTTCACTAGGTTTAGGAGAGTTCAAAGTGATTCCTGTGGTAGTAAATAAACACTAATGAGAAACATGTTTGCACATACTATAAACACAGAGAAATTAGACCCAGAGGGTAAAAAGAAAAGAAAAGAAATATTAGCTCAAGGAGTCAAGTTTGATTTGGATCCAAAGCCCCAAAGCCTAATTCTTATTTAGTTGCCTAACTTTAACATGTCATTGTAGTGTGTGAGCTGAAAAAGAAATAAGTAATGTAAATAAGTGTCCTGTAATTTGTGACTTATTATTATTTCTTACTGGCAGAAGCTTATCATATGGGTGAAATAATTCTGTGCTTGTCAGTCCTTCAATAAGTAAAACAATGCTTAAAGACAGAGAAGTCCATGCCCTTTGGGGGTAATCCATATATTCTTAATCGTGATGGATTAACTACATAAAGAATATTCACTGGGGCAGCCTGGGGAGGGGATAAAAATGTAAACATTTAAAAGAATACTTTGTTTATTAAAATCAACATTCAAATTGATGGAAGTGGTGATTGCTAAGCAGAGCAATGATTTGAGGGTCAGTAATGCTTTTAAAATGTCAAGAAGGCTTGCAATAGGACTAAAATCCAGATAACAACATTCTTGATTTTGTGGTCCATTTCATGCTCGTTCTCCCAATTTTATTTATCTTTGTAAAGTCTTCTGCTTCCTTATTTCAACTGATTACATCAATGTTTTTTCATCAGTGGATTTACCAAATTAACTTTCTGAAGTAGCATTCAGAATTTACATAGGACTCTAGGATATAGATTTTGGAAGTTCAAGATTGAGGAACAAAGACTTATGTTTTAAGTAAAAACTACTCAAAATAATAGTTATGCTCTGACATGACCAGTGTTTGTTAGCATTAGCGAATGAACATTAGGATGTTCGTTAGCATCCTGTACTTTTATACTTATATACTCTTTTGTTTGTGTGGACAATATGCAATTTAAATAATGATGTGGGAATACTTAGTATATTTAAATAATTTCAAATAGTTTAATGTAGTGATAATGTGGGATGTGATATCGGAAAATAGGAGATGAGGCTGGAAGTAAAAGTGAGGCCTCAGTGTGAAGAGCCACAAGCTGTGTTAAGTTCATCTTCTTTTTTTTCTTTTTTTAAAAATTTATTTATATTTATTTTGGCTGCGTTGGGTCTTTCGTTGCTGCATATGGGCTTTCTCTAGGTCTTTTGTTGCTGCGTACGGGCTTTCTCTAGTGATGAGCAGGGGCCATTCTTCTTTGCAGTGCGCGGGCTTCTCATTGCGACGGCTTCTCTTGTTGCAGAGCATGGGCTCTAGGCACATGGGCTTCAGTAGTTGTGGCACGTGGGCTCAGTAGTTGTGGCTCATGGGTTTAGTTGCTCCACGGCATGTGGGATCTTCCCGGAGCAGGGCTCAAACCCGTGTCCCCTGCATTGGCAGGCAGATTCTTAACCACTGAGCCACCAGGGAAGCCCAAGAAGTCCATCTTCTGAGAGATGGTAAGAATAGAGAAGATTTTTAAGCAGGGAAATAATATGCTCCAGCCTGTTTCTAGAAAGATAATTTTGATGGTGGTATGGGAAGGAGATATTGGAAGGAGATCCTAGAGTCTACTGTAATAATCTAGGGCAAGAGAGAATGAGGGCTTACACTAATGTGGAGATGATGAAAATAGGTGATGTGTTCAAGGGACACATCACTGGTAAAATCAACACTGTCCTTTTTCTGAGTTGATGAGGACAGTTAGAGGAGGGAAAAATAGCTTGCATGATTGGATGAATAATGGTGTTGCCCTTACAGAATAGAGAAAGATGAGTCAGTTTGGGAGGAAAGATGATTTAAATTTTGGAAGCATTCACAAGGTTTGGAGGATATCCAGGACACAGTAGTTTTCCATAATATATAAGTAAACTCTTCAATAAAGTTTCTTTAGGAACGTTCAGAGTAGGTTCTTGACAAATTGTAAACATTTACCTCACTCATATAGTATTTATCTTTCTTTGTCATCCTCCCATGGACATGTTGTTGAAAGGAAGCTAATCTTTTGGCAGCCATACACTTTGAATGTTTGTATTGGGAGGACAGCCTCTTGCTTAAGCACAGAGCCATATATTATAGGAGAAAGAGCATGAACTTTCCAGTCTGAGAGACTGAGGATAAAATCATTGCTCTATGACTTACTAGCTGTGTGATCTTGGCCAAATCACTTGACCTCTCTGTGTCTCAGTTCATCATGAGGGAAGTAGGGATAAAAATCCCTCACAGTGCTGTTGTGAAGATTAAATAAGATAACATAGGTAAAGTGTTGGTCACATAGTTATGTGTCCAACAGATGGTAGCTATCCCCATTATTATGAAAGGGGATATGCCGCTAGTTCTATAAATAGCAAAGCAAATATAAATAATGTTGAGAAGTTCCTGGCAATCCATCCAAATACTGCAGTATTTTATAAAGTGTGCTTTATATATACCTAGTTAAGCCTGTCTAGAGTTACAGTGATTTTTCTCACTTTATAGATGAGGAAGCTGAGATCCAGGAAGTCAGTAGTTACCAGACTTTCCAAGTTCATGCTACTCTTGGAACAGTTGTCAACAACAAAATACTGTTGGGTTGTTTAGTTACATAATGAAGTAAATAGGACTAAAATATTGATGCCTATTCCAGGTGGTGCATAGAAGTAAGGGTGTATGTTTCATTCTGTTTCTCCAATTACTATTAAGAATTTTCTGATTATAACAGTCGTATATGTTCTTTAGGTTCCAAATATGTATTTGGAAAATACAAAAAGAGTATAATGAAGAATACAGAAATTACCCACCACCAGTTGACATTATGTTTTTATCTTGTGTGCATGTATGTATCTTCCATATATATGTACATATGAACACACAATACACGTACTGGAACCTTACTGTGTTTATTATTATTAATCCTTTTCATTTGAAATTATATTGTAAGCACTTTGCAATTTCATTTTCTATATATGAAGATTTAAATTTAATGGCCATATAGTACTCTATCATTCAGTTTATAAATTGTTTTGTGCTATTTCTTGCTAGTTTTACACATAAAAGTGGTGAACGAATTCTTTCTGGGTAGGGGCTCTTTCTAGAAAAATTTTTTCCTTCTATTATTTGTCTGATAATTATCTTTTCAAAATTTCATCCAGAGGCTAGTTTCAACTCAGATTTCAATAACATAGCATGCATAATAGTTCTCTAATAGACTATTTTATATAAATAATTATAACAAGCTTCAGTCAACTAGACAGCTTGTGACAGCCTGAAATTTTTAGAGAAGGAAACATTTTTCTTTGTGGACATAAATACTGTGTTGCATCGATCCTTTAAGCAAGTTATTTTTCTGTGTAAAATGACAGTTTATATCTATCTTATTAAATTTGTGTATCAGTTAGTAGTAAAACAGCTGAAATACACAAGAGTAGTATTTTTTGACTAATTACACACAAATTATATTTGGAGACCTAAAAATTTCAAGTAGGATGCACTGTCAGAATTTGGAGGGACTTCCTTGGCAGTCCAGTGGTTAAGACTTCACCTTCCAATGCAGAGGGTGTGGGTTCGATCCCTGGTCAGGGAGCTAAGATCCCACATGCCTTATGGCCAAAAAACCAACACATAAAACAGAAACAATAATAAATTCAATAAAGATTTTAAAAATGTCTCACATCAAAAATATCTTTAAAAAATTCCACTAGTATTCTGACTAGTTACAGTTTAAAAAAAAAAAAGGAATTTGGGGTCAAGGAAGAAAAGCTCAATCTCTGAAACGAAGACTAACATGACCCATTGTACAAATAGATTGGTTCCATTTGTGACAATGTTTTCAACAAATTACTTATTCAAGGAAATATTATTGATTGTGTTAATAATAATTATAGAGTCCTGTCTAAATCTCAGCAAGTAGCCTAGAGAATCTCCCTGAAAAGAAAGATGTAGGATTAATATGTAATGTATAATAAGTAGGAATCGGGAAAAAATGCAATCTGACTATCGTGATGAAGGATTATCATAGGCAATGGTTTTGGTGATTGTGAAGAAATAATTGCAAAGGAGAGTTGGATAGTGAAGATCTGTTGATGTGTCCCTAGTCTGCCTAGGAAAGCAGGTGCCCAACTTAGTTGGTACATGTGTTCCAGATCATTTGACAGATCTGCTCTTATAGAGAACAGTGTATATGGAGAAACCTGTTGGTTGTTTACCATACTGTTCCCTTTTCCTCCTGGGTACACAGCTAGACTATATTTATTAGCCTCCCTTGCAGTTAGGTGGCAACATATGATTGACACCGAGACATAAAGTGTGGGGAGAAATAATAGATGCATTTCTAGTTCTGGTCCCTCCATTATCTTCCTCTGTATTCTGATCAGATGCAAAAGATTCAGCAGAGAATTATTTAAAAAGGATAACCAACAAGGACCTACTATAAAGCACAGGGAACTCTGCTAAATGTTATGTGGCAGCCTGGATGGGAGGGGAGTCTGGGGGAGAATGGATACATGTATATGTATGGCTGAGTTACTTTGCTGTGCACCTGAAACTATTGCAACATTGTTAATCGGCTATAATCCAATATAAAATAAAAAGTTAAAAAAAAAAAAGAGAAAAAGATCCAGCAGAGAAGTCCAAGATTGGGTCGAGGGGAGGGAGGAGGTGGAGCCATGAGAAAGAAAAAGCCAGGAATTCTAAGTCATTATCTGAGAGTGAGCTACCTAGGAGAGATGGTAGGTCAGGAACACCTCCATTGGAGTGTTGCATGAATAAGAAATTTTTATTGCATGGAGCCACCCCTGATAGCCTCTCAATGCAATAATTAGACTCCCCTAGTTAATGCAGTATATATACAAAGCAGTCACAGCTTATGACCTCTTTAAAATAATTAATATACCCCAACTCTCTATGTACCCTTATTAAGTAAATTTTCTTCCTGGAAGAGATATCTAATTAGCTGAAGTGAATATTCTGTTTCACCTTGGCCAGTATGTTTTTATTTGTGTAAATTAACAAATTAGTATTCTTATATGTATGGTTCACGTGAATAAGATTTCTGAGACTTGGTTGACCAGGGCTGAATTAAACAAACTGAGCTTCTGAATCTGCAAAGCGGAATCCGTAATGATTCAATCAAAATTCGAAGATTCCATGAGGCTCAGTTTGGAGGAATGAAGAAGGTTTCTCTCTCTCTCTCCCCTGCCCTATTTGCCATTAAAATAAAAAATATATGCCCATCATTATTTTGATATGAAATATTTAAGTATAACTACCATCAAATTTTAGTAATATCTTATTTATATGGTAGTCAGAATTTGGTTATCTAAACCATCCAGAATGCATCCTCAATCTGAAAGACTTATGAAAACAGTCATCACAAAATCTATTCCACCTCCTATGCCCTAAACTGTCTTTTAGACCCTGTGTGCTTATGAACCCCTCTTTTTATTTATTTATAAGTATTTTTTAAAGCAATTAAAATTTTTTTTTCCTTTTTTAAAAAAATTAATGAATTTACTTTTTGGCTGTGTTGGGTCTTCGCTGCAGCGCGTGGGCTTTCCCTAGTTGCAGCGACCGGGGGCTACTCTTCATTGCAGTGCACAGGCTTCTCATTGTGGTGGCTTCTCTTTGTTGTGGATCACAGACTCTAGGCGTGCTGGCTTCAGTAGTTGTGGCTCGTGAGCTCAGTAGTTGTGGCTTGTGGGCTCTAGAGCGCAGGCTCAGAAGTTGTGGCGCACGGGCTTAGTTGCTCTGCAGCATGTGGGATCTTCCCGGAGCAGGGATTGAACCCATGTCCCCTGCATTGGCAGGCAGATCCTTTTTTTTAAAATACATTTATTTATTTATTTATTTGGCTGTGTTGGGTCTTCATTTCTGTGCGAGGGCTTTCTCTAGTTGCGGCGAGCGGAAGCCACTCTTCATCGCGGTGTGCGGGCCTCTCACTGTCGCGGCTTCTCTTGTTACAGAGCACAGGATCCAGATGCGCAGGCTCAGTAGGTGTGGCTCATGGGCCCAGTTGCTCCACGGCATGTGGGATCTTCCCAGACCAGGGCTCGAACCCGTTTCCCCTGCATTGGTAGGCAGATTCTCAACCACTGCACCACCAGGGAAGCCCCGAGTTAGATTCTTAACCACTGTGCCACCGGGGAAGTCCCAAATCCCTATTTTTAAATACTATGTTTTAGCAAGATTGGTTGTCTGATATCATGTGATAATCTACAAGTCTTCTAAATGTTAGAAAGCAGCAGATTAGAAACAAAAAGGTGGCATACTACTAAATGTAGATGCGCTGACAGTAGCCAAAATAGTAGCTGATGCTAAAGATAGAGGCATTACTATACACAGTCAGCCTCTAGAAGCACAGCGGTCTGCAGGCAAACAAACGTTCATTAAGCAAGTACTTCCTGAACTCTTAGTAACTCTTAGGATGCACACAGAACCTTGTTGGGAATAGGGGAGCAGGAGACAAGGAGTATGATGTGTAGTTCATATCTTCAAAGAGCTTATAATTTACTTTAAAAAGAAAAGACAGAGCATATGAATCGTAAATAACCATGCTGCTGCTTAAAATCTAAGGAATAATACTAAGAACAAGGATTGATGAAACTAATAGCATAAAATATACTCTCAACAATGAGAGGAGAGATTATTCAGGGTAGGTTAGAATAGCCAGAGAAGCATCTGAGATGGAGATCCTCTTCTTTTGTTATAAAGTACATGTTTAATTTAAAATACCGTGTGTAACACAAATGTAAATAAACGACCTTAGGGGAAGTCCCACTCTTGCCTGGGAAATTTCTAACTGATGAATCACCAAAGAAAACGAGAAGAGGGAGGTGGGGCTGGTAACCTGAGCTGATTGCCCATTCAGTACACTCAGGACATGTTGTCATCTGTGCTCTGAGCTGAGAGCTGAAGATGTCCCCAAACAGGAAACCGGAACTTATTGCATAGCCTAAAAATGGAGCAGGCACTTTGAAGTAGGAAGGGATGTCTAGTTTGCTTCTGGCTAAGTGATCAGTCATGATTCTGAAGTTGCAGATAAAGATAGGTTTGTCATCAAAGCTCTGTGAACATTAGAGCCCCTTCATTCATTCATTCATTCAATAAACAATTACTAGGTACCTGCTGGAGATATAGAACAACCACACAACAACAAAAAATAAGCTCCATTTCTCAAGGAATATTCTACAGAGAGGGGAGAGACAGATAAAGTCAATAGTTACAGCAAAAAATGTCTTAAATGTAATGACAGAGGGATAGAGCTTCCCCTAGGAGCCCTTTGCTTTCTCACTTTCATAGTAGCATTTTCTGTCTGTAGCACTATTTCAGTCTATACTCAGTCAATCCTGTCATCCACTTAAACTCTACCTTTAGCCCCCCCTAACTCTGAGACTAGATGTCCCTTTCTTTAGTAACTTTCCTCAACCCCTAAATCTCCGCTGGTGCTTCTCCTGCGAGTGCCTTTGGCTGTTACCACACCAGGCCCTTATGACATGGTATTATGTTTGCCTGACTCGTCCACACCCTCCCTAGACAGTAAGTACCACAAGGTAAGGATTGTGGGTTCCCCCCCACCCAGCATTATCTCCATACCTATCCCTGTGTTTGGCCCATAAGTTAGTTCTCAGTAAATACTTGTTTGAAATAATTAATTAATTTAATTCATTATTCAAATATTCTGTCTAATAAGTACATAATACATACAAGAAGAATGTTTATTGTTAACTCCTGAAACCTATTTTACAAAGCACTTGAATAAGCTTTAGTTATCTGGAAAATTTACTTTTGTGGAAACCTCATTTCATGAAAATGCTAGGTACATTGTGTTAGTGTATATAAATTACTCATGCTTTTAAATTTGTAAACAACAAATCAAGCAGCTTCCCAGACATTCCCCCAACCCTCAGTTAACCAATGGTGACCAATGGGGAAAATATGTAGTAATATTTAAACCAGATCCACTGAAAACCTCCCAAGGGAATCCTAGCCTCATTATGCCTTTTATCGGTGCTATTGCACATTTTTTAAACTTTTTTTCTGTCTTCTCCATTTTCCTTTGGCTTGAGTAATGTACTTGAGTAAGAAAATGGTCAGAAGACGGCCCACAAAAGATAGAGCTTGGTACTCAAACACAAAATTATCCTATATAAAATACTAAGACAAAATGGCATTGATCTGGGAATTCTAAAAGAATTCAAGAGAAATTGCTAACTACATCAGTTAAGGTTAGCCTAAATGACCAAAAGAAAGTTTTGTTGTAAAGGCAACAGAAAGGGGTCTTACCTCGACTATAGCAAAGCTGGTAGAGTTTATAGTAAAAATTAAAACTCACAAAATAATTTGTAGTAAAAGTAAAAACCAAAGCTGAAAAAACTATATCAGAGCCACATAAAACCTTGTTCACAAATGTTTATAGCAATATTATTCATAACAGCCAAAAGGCAGAAACAATTCATATGCCCATCAACTGATGAACAGATAAACAAAAGGTAGTATCAATATGATACTACCTTTGTAATATCAATATGATATTACAAAAGGTAATATCAATATGATGTGAATATAATTTGGCAATAAAAAAGAATGAAGTACTGATACATGCTATGACATGGATGAACTTGAAAACATTATGTTAGGTGAAAGAAGCTATCACAAAATGCTACATGTATCATTCCATTTATGTGAAATGTCTAAAATAGCCAAATCTATGCAGATAGAAAGTAGATTAGTGGTTGCTTAGGGCTGGGGTTATAGAGAATAGAGGAGTTGATAGCTAAAGGATATGGAGTTTCTTTTTGAGGTGATTGAAATGCTCTAAAATTTACTGTGATGATGGTTACAAGTATCTGTGAATGTAATAAAAACCATTGGATTGCACACTTTAAATGGGGGAATTTCCTAGTATGTGAATTATATCTCAATAAAGTTGTTTTTTTAAAAAAATCTACTGGAAATAGTGTAAAAACTTACTTGCCAGAGGAAATTAATTACTATTTTAGAATATCTTACAGGAGCAAATAGGCATATGTAAATAGAGGATAGATGATCTACTTTTATCCCTGAGAAGCCATGGGGGAAAGTCCATGCCAAATGCTATTCTGAAACCAAGTCCTCATGGGAAGGGATGAAGAAGAGTCTCATTTGTCTTAGATAAGAAGTGATTTTGAAACACAAAACAAGCACAATAGCAAAAGTATAAAAAGCAAGATTCTTCTGGGATGGTTGCTAAAACCTGTCTTATTTTTTCAGCGATCTGTAGTAGAGAACATGTGATAAGGTCTCCCATGTTTTTATGTAACTCTAAAATTTTTCAAGAAGGGAAAAGACAAATCAATGGAGATAGAATACAGAAATATATTTCTAGTTGGTTTAAGTGAGCAGAACAGTCACAGCTGAATTTAACACAGGCAAGTGCCAAGTCATTCACTTAGGGAGATGGTTAGATGGATGGATATTGATATAGGTAATGCCTTGAGCTACTGGTGACAACTTGACAGCTTAGAAAAAATGATTTGGAGTCATTAAAGATTCTAATGTCGTGCTAGTTGAAAAAATGATAGGTCTAATTTAATGGCAGCATTTTAAAAATCAGGCTTGTTACATAACATCCTAAGAAATTCAGTGGCTTATCTGATACTTAAAAAGAAGAAAGGAAAAGAGAAGGAACAAAGGAAGGAAGGAGAAAAAGCGAGGAAAGAAGGAAGAGAGCAAAGAAAGGATGAAAATTGATACATTGATCTTCCAGTGGTTGGGTATCTGACCCTTCTCCTTTGGATATGGGTATTTATTATTGTACCAGTCATGGTAAATCATTACAAAGAATTTCTTAAGGTAAAAAAGTTCTCATTATTATAGATAAGGATTTTGGCTCACCAGTTAATTACTTAAAAGGTTTCTTTTTGCTGAAGTTTACATCATAAGTTCCATCTTTATTGTTGTTTCTTTACACTTCTATTCATTTAATGTAGTACATTAAGTCAAAGAAGAAATAAATCAATTGATGATATTTACCTCTTGTTTCTGACCTATTGTAGAATGTAATCCTTGATTCGTTATCTTCAGTCCATTTAACTGGAATATTCCATGTGTAACTAAAGTTTTTTAAAAAGAAAAATTTTAACTTTTATTACTAAAAAATAAAAACATTTCCAAAGTAAAAATAGACAAGCATAAAAAGCAATAGACAAGCATATTTTCCTCATAAGCAATTGTCCAGTGTATAGTATACAATTAATACAGTTAATACAGTACTCTTTTGTGGTAAAGATAGGCTATGTAATTGCTTTCAATTTATATAAATCTCTAAAATTTGGAACTTTGTATCAAAAATTAGCTAAGGATGAAGAAGATTATTTCAAGAAAAATGGCTTGAAGCTTTGGAATAAAGATATTGCATAAATATAACACATATAAAATTGAGCATTCACATACATACTTGCACAGACTTTAATATGCTATAGTTTCTGTCAAGGAACACAATACATTTTTAGAATTCAGAAGACAATATTAAAATGCTGTGAAGGAAATAATGCATTTTAGAAATTATGTTGCAATGACACCACCACCATCATCCCTTAAAGCTTATCATGCTCTTTAAAGATCTCCTATTTACAATCATGTGAACCAATGTGTTGCAAAGAAAACTCACCAGGCAAGCATGTTTCAGTGGGTTTTAGTGTTCTTTTTAGCTTCTTAGTATTTTCTTGTAGAGCAGGGGGAGGAGGTTAGCTTTGTACTTTGATACAATATATACTTAACATTTTAGTCTTGAAATCTCATAAAAGAGGTCTTAAATGTCTTTTAGATTGTTCTCATATCATATCTTACCAGTCAGAAAACAGAGGAGATCTAGAGAAAAGATGAATCTGTGTTTGGGTTTAGGTTTCAACTCAGAGTTGGCCTTGTTTTTCTTCATCTGTGATCATTCAAGTCCCTAACAGAGTATGGGGGAATGATATTTCTCCCTTTCAAGATACAATAAAATTTATGTAATTCAGGGAGAATATAAATTTGCCATCTACATGAAAGAAGTCATCCTTTGTTGTCTAACTAGTGAAATGTTTTATAGATTGAACTTTTACTAGCTCTCTTGAAGGAGTTTATTGCAGTGGAATGTTTTTGGATGTAAGTTTCATAGAACCAGTACATAAATTGTTTCTTGGATCCTATAGGAGACATTGTCAGTGCTCCACCCTTATCCCCTTGAATTTCTTTGTCATTTTTGTACACTCTGGATTCCATTATGCTTTCCCTGCCCACAGCCAGCACCTGGGTCTCTCTGTTAGAGGACTGCCCTCTGGCTGCCTGAGCAAGGAAAGCTAGAAGTTCCTGGGAGTTTACATCCTTGGATGCAGCCCTTAGCCAATGATGGATGGGCATGGAAATGTTCTTTGCCCCACCTGCAGGACCACACTGAAGCACTGTCTCTAGAACTTCCCTGCAGGGTAGTCACCCTGGACAGAACCTGTTTATTGTTGGATCTTTTCTGCTGGATATCACTCTTGCCAATCCCCCTACCAGCCTTTCCTAGACTTCCTAATGAGTCACTTTCACTTGAATGATCACCTCAGGGTCTGATTTTAGTGAAGCCAACCTAAGAACGATCCCTTTACCAGACTAGTACTTGTAGTCTAGTAAAGTCTGTCTGTAGTTTAGATAGACTAGTAATATTGCCAGAGCTTCTCGACAGATAGACAAAGAAGCATTTTTTTAAAGTCACATTCTACCTACAGATTGCACTCTTTCACTGCTCTGCTGATGTGGTGTTGCCATGTAGACTAACATTTCATTCCTCCTCACCTTTCCCCAATGCCAACCCGACTGAAACAACAGAATACGGAGTATCTTGATACACTATACGCACAGTTAAGATTTCACATTTCCACTGTCCCCTCTAAGACACGGTCTCTGGGACTAGGCTGTGCCTAAGAGTAGGCATAAGATATACTGCTAAGGTCATGTAAAAAATATTACTCTGAGGTCTGTAAGAGCATCATAAGACAAAAAAGGATGCAGGGTTGAGGCTATATAATTTTATAGTTTTGGAGCCACTTACAGGATCTAATGTGAGTAAAATTATAGATTGGAGAGTACAAAATGTCAAGAAATAGAAATTACATAAATGAAATGATAGAGTTTCCTATATGTTTTCTAAAATTCAAGAGTATCAGATTTAATTTTTTAAAGGTATAATTCGCTTTTAAAATGTCTAACAATATAACAGTTTCTGACAGTATAAATATGGCCAATCTAATTTTCACTAATGAAACTGACTTTGCCCCAACATGACATACCTACTACCATTCTTCCACCAGTTTACATTGACTGGACTGCCAAAGACACGTAAACTTGTCCCATAGAGAACTCTCCCTGATGGAGATGTGAAACTGGCCCATTTCTAAGAGATGGTTGAAGCCATAGTGTAAAACAGTAACTTACAAATGTGTGGTCCATTTAAATTATAAAAAGTTTCTGGTCAGTAAGAATTCCCTAATATTGGAATATTTAAGCAGTGAGAAAAGGGAAGAGGCCATTTAGTTTATAATACAACTTAACATTGTCTACCAGATAGTAATATACCTGAACAGACAGCAGGTGAACACTAGGGTTGGAGAAAAAACTAATTCCTTTCTGGGAGCATTACGCCCCATATAATCTAATCTATAATTAGATTATATTATGATCTAACTTTTTAATCAAATCGAAAAATAAGGAATGATAACTTTCTATATAATGTCTTTTTCTCTCTTATTTGTTCAAGAGCCACTACAGATTTTTGAGAAATGTTCTCAAGAGGATAGCCTGTCTTTTCTAGGTTTATTTTCCTATGCATATATAACTTGTAACTTTTTTAAAAAAAACAGGGAACACGTAGATTGACTTTATGATAAATGGTCACTAAAAATCATGCATCTATGAATCTAAAATTTTTTTAAAGTCTCTGAAGGTTAAAACTAAAAAAAAATTAGAGAAAAGTGTAAATGTTAGTATGGTTCCATGTTCTAAATCTTGATGAATACAATTTAAAGATTTATTATAACTTTAGAAGTGATTTTAGACCTGTTGATATGTTTAGTTCCCTTGGTAATAAAGTTTTTTGTTTGTGTGGAGAGGAATCTATAACCCAGGAGTAGTCTTTAAAAATGTAATCCCACAGGTTTAAAAACAGTGTTGGCTATGTCTCTGGCTTAACAAATCAGTGGATATGAAAGAGAAGGGAACAACTACTGTGAAGCTTTCCCAATGGAAGTTTGTTTCGCAAGAAAGAAATATATTTTTAAAATTTTATATGTGCAAACACTATTAAATAGCAGTGTTAAATATGGCCAGTCTGATTTGCTGGAACATAAAACAGTAACTGTAAAAAACAATTTATGGTTAACAGAATGATCACAGAAATTATGTTGATTTATGTAATTGAATTATCACCTGATAACAAGTCAGATCTAAGTTTCAAATCATTCATATATTATGAAGAGGAAAGAGTGAAAAACAGAGAAGTTTTCTCCATCATAGTCTTTCCTCTCCAAAATAAAGATAAAGAAGGAAATACAGACACTCCCTGACTGATTTCATTGGGTCTAAGACCTCAAATTTTCCTTTGTTTTGGCATGAACTATTAATTTTCAGAACCTGCATTCCAGCAAGATATCCAGTTTCTCTGAATTTCATTTACTGTGGAAGAGCTGAGTGAGGTTTCCAGGGGGAGAGGCTGGTAACAGGTTTCAACAAGGTGAGCACCACTGGCTTCTCCAGTTCAGGTGCCAACCAGTTTCTTTTTTATTTATTTATTTCTATTTTTTACATCTTTATTGGAGTATAATTGCTTTACAATGGTGTGTTAGTTCTGCTTTATAACAAAGTGAATCAGTTATACATATACATATGTTCCCATATCTCTTCCCTCTTGCGTCTCCCTCCCTCCCTCCCTCCCTATCCCACCCCTCTAGGTGGTCACAAAGCACCGAGCAGATCTCCCTGTGCTATGCGGCTGCTTCCCACTAGCTATCTATTTTACATTTGGTAGTGTATATATGTACATGCTACTCTCTCACTTTGTCACAGCTTACCCTTCCCCCCCCCCATATCCTCAAGTCCATTCTCTAGTAGGTCTGTGTCTTCATTCCTGTCTTACCCCTAGGTTGTTCATGCCTTTTTTTTTTTCTTAGATTCCATATATATGTTAGCATACGGTATTTGTCTTTCTCTTTCTGACTTACTTCACTCTGTATAACAGACTCTAGGTCCATCCACCTCACTACAAATAACTCAATTTCGTTTCCTTTTATGGCTGAGTAATATTCCATTGTATATATGTGCCACATCTTCTTTATCCATTCATCCGATGATGGACACTTAGGTGGCTTCCATCTCCGGGCTATTGTAAATAGAGCTGCAATGAACATTTTGGTACATGACTCTTTTTGAATTATGGTTTTCTCAGGGTATATGGCAGTAGTGGGATTGCTGGGTCATATGGTAGTTCTATTTGTAGTTTTTTAAGGAACCTCCATACTGTTCTCCACAGTGGCTGTACCAATTCACATTCCCACCAGCGGTGCAAGAGTGTCCCCTTTTCTCCACACCCTCTCCAGCATTTATTGTTTCTAGATTTTTTGATGATGGCCATTCTGACTGGTGTGAGATGATATCTCATTGTAGTTTTGATTTGCATTTCTCTAATGATTAATGATGTTGAGCATTCTTTCATGTGTTTGTTGGCAGTCTGTATATCTTCTTTGAAGAAATGTCTATTTAGGTCTTCTGCCCATTTTTGGATTGGGTTGTTTGTTTTTTTGTTATTGAGCTGCATGAAATGCTTGTAAATTTTGGAGATTAATCCTTTGTCAGTTGCTTCATTTACAAATATTTTCTTCCATTCTGAGGGTTGTCTTTTGGTCTTGTTTATGGTTTCTTTCCTTTGCTGTGCAAAATCTTTGAAGTTTCATTAGGTCCCATTTGTTTACTTTTGTTTTTATTTCCATTTCTCTAGGAGGTGGGTCAAAAAGGACCTTGCTGTGATTTATGTCACAGAGTGTTCTGCCTATGGTTTCCTCTAAGAGTTTGATAGTTTCTGGCCTTACATTTAGGT